AGGGGGGCCCTGTTGCGCCCGGGGGGGACCCGGGCCCCCAGGGCCTTGCCCCCTCCCGAGCCCCTGCCTGAAGCGGCCAGAGCCCTGCCTCCCCTGCCCTGCCCTGCCCAGCCCGCCCAGCCCTGCCTGCCCGCGCTGCCCCCCGTGTTTCTCTCTCCACCAGCTGCCCCGTCCCCGCTTTTCCCCGTCTTTCCGTGCTCCCGTAGGGCAGGTAGCAGGTGGGAGCTGCAGGGAGAGGCAGGGCAGGCTCAGCTGGGCAGCCTTCCCCCCCCGCTGCAGCAGCCGGGGCTGGTGGGATGCGGGAAGGGTGTCATCCTGCACCCCCCCGGGCCCAAGGGCGCCGCCCTGGCTGCGCTCCCAGGGCTCTCCCCGGTCCGGCCCCTCTGTCCCGCTGGCTCTTGTCCCTCTGGCAGTGCACCTGCCCTCTGGCAGTGCTCCTGCTCTGCTTTTCCTGAGCTCCACGAACGCCGCTCTGTGCCGTGCAGCCAGCCCCGGCTCCCTTCTCCTCCTGAGGGGACAGGCAGAGCGCACGCTAACAGAAATACCACGCGATAATTAAACAGGGAAGTTTTCTGCGCTGCCTTTACAAAAATCAGGTAATTCCTGGCAGGCACCCTGTGTGTAAGAGAGCCCTGCAGCCAAAAGTGTCAGGTCAGACGATGGTGAGTCTGTATACAAAGAAATCCTGCCCGGGACTAAAAGTGGTGTGATTGCAGAACGGGTAAGTTGCGCGTGGCAGAATTTTGGGCAGTGAGTGTGCAGGTTGAGACCCTGCTGATGAGCCCAATGGGTACTGATACGAGGGCACACATCTGATTTTTCCCCCTTATTTACAAAAAAATCTAGAAAATGCACACAAAACACAAAAAAAGCCTATGTTAAACGACCGTTGTTAAAGGTCTGAAGCGGTCAGAAGTTACAGAACACCAGGGTTCAAGTTGCTGGTCCATACCTCAGCTCACTTGCCTGTTGCATGGGCTTTACGATGCAGTCCGTAATTACAGGATTACATTTTTTCCCCTCGAGGGATTTTCTCTGTCAGTGCTTGAGAATGATGGATCTTGGAGAATGAGACTGATCTGGCTAAGGACAGAGGCAGGTTAATTTGCTGCAGAAGTTGGAAAACACAGTGAATGGCACGGGCAGTAGCAAGAAGAGGAAGGCTGCTCTCTTGGCCTGGCAATGGGTAATGGCTCTGCATTTGCCAGAGCTGACACACATGCTGGGTAGATGACTTAAGCTCAGATTTTGGTAGGTGGTTGCTAGCTAATTGAGTGTGCCTGCCTTGAGCCACCGAAGGCCTGGCAGGAATATGTGCTAAATGCTCCTAAACTACAGCTGAAATAAATGGGAGCTGTACTTTGAACATGTGCTGCAGGACAACACTTGCTCTGAAAAAAAGCACCCTTGGGTGTTTCAGTGAGACACCTAAACTTAATGGATGTTCTTGACCTTGGTCTTTGGCTAATATCTCTCCTTCGTCTCACAGAGAGACTGTGAAAATAAATTAGCGTTTACGAAACGTTCATATTCTATAGGGACAACAGGCATAGAACAGTCTACAGGTAAATGAGTAATGCCACCGCCGAAGCGGGATCTGTGTATCATGAAGTAAGTAACGCCTTGGGCAACAGGCTGAGCAAGGAATGTGAAACTAAACACTGAGTACCCGGTCAGGATCCGTGCTGAGCACTGAGCAAGACAGCAGTTCCCTGGTATGTAGAGACCGCATCGTAACTCATGTGCAAAACACGGGTAAATTAAGGGCACAACTGCAAGTTTATGGTGTATGAAATACGTCTCTAGTAAAAGGAGTGGTGGATCAGCCAGTGAGCCCATGGTTAATGCCCTCTGGTTGTTTCATATATTTCTAATGATACCGGGAAGAAAAATAGGGACTTGCTGCCTTTTGCCTGTTCCTGTTGCTCTGTGCTGTAGTTGTTGCTTGGTTTGCAAAATAATGTTAAATTGCTTTGGTTGTCACACCTGAGGTTGCTGCTGCAAGCTTCTGCCTGGGGAGATCCCAGGTTTCCCAAATGAGACAACGGGGGGCAGCTTTCTCCCCCTGGGTCTGTTTTAACTTATGTTTCCACAGCTGGAAGCAACCACTGCTGTGGAGGGCACCAGCGACACTGCTGTCAGGCTGCCGGCAGATGGGCAGTTTTACTGAGTGTCCTAGAGGTGGAGGGGTCAAAGGATCCAGTTGGTCAGCGACAAAACCTTTTGGGGGACAAATCCAGTGTCTATTCTTTGCTATCTGTCCTAACACCCAGGTGTGGGCAGAGCCTGAGAACGCTGCGTAGGGAACTCATGACTTCAGAGGTGCCTGGACCTGTACCTATGGGGACGGGTTCGCAAACCAGTCCTCTAGAATTAGAAGTGATCTCCCCAAAAGCTTGATTTGATGCTAGTCTGTATATGTTTGCAGGGATATTAGCATTCCTCAAGATGCTGCTGCTGCAGAAGCAAAGCCAAAATGATCAATTCTTTTTTTCCAGCAGCTTAACTCGCTATTCAGAAGCACTAAGGCTCAAAGCTTATCTGTTATAAATGAAATCTGAGATTTTCTCTTTATAATTCTTCATCTTCAACTCAGGGAATAATGGCTTCAGGTTTAAAGAACCCAGTTATTTAGATAATATAATGGAAATAAGTAATGTGGATATTCTGCAGCCCCAGCGTAGGGATTATTTCACATTTATCTTTATGCAAATTCATAAACCTTTGACTTTTATAAATTGATATGCCAGGCACAAAGTGACGTGAGGTTGCGCACGTTTATCTAAACTGATGCAGCAGACAAGCAGGCCTAACTTCTGAGAACAGAGGAAGGTGAGAAAATGAACTTTTTCATAGCTCTTTGTCACTCGTGGTACTCAAATTATAAAGGTCTCTTTTGCAAACTGTGCATTTTCGAAGTAAATGCATTCACCATCTGAAAGATTGCAGAATAGCTGTGTTTTGTGAAGGAAAAAGAATCACATTCTTGATGTAATTGTTCAGTTACAGTCCATCTCCCCACATCATAGTTACAAACTTTGTCTTTAGTGATTACTAATTTGTAACCTGAGTTCAGTTTGAAGCCAATGGGAAGGAACTGGTTTTATTAGACTGATTTCCAGAGAGAGTTTTGATTATTGGCTGACATGTGTCTGTGCAAGACACATCCTTAACAAGATAAATTATCCTTAACAAGATAAGTTATTTCTTAAACAAAACCTTGCTATTTTAATCTTGACAGGAGAAATAATGGCCTTTGAAATGTGCAGTTATCGGCATTCTAGATGAAGAATAAAACCCTGTGAGAACTTGTCAAATAATAATCACAAACATCTAAAATGGCTTCAGGGTCAGCTTTCAAATAAATTATTTGCAGGTGCATTTTAGCATCATTCAAACAGGTCAAACAAATTATTCATCTTTTTTGCCATTAGGCTAAATAATTTATTCATATCTCCAGTATCCAATGGCTAACCTTGGTACCTGTGAAACTTTCTCATTCCTGAGTCCATGCTGAGCATGAGTTGGTAAATGAGGCAGGTGGATAACGCTTTAACTAAACCTTAACTTCAGCTAAAGATTCTAATCTTTAGTTGGGCTAAACCACGACTGCGATCACATGGCTCAATTTAGATGTGAGCCAGGGTTGGCTCTCAACAATAATTTCATGATTTTTACTAATTTATAATATTTTTGCCCTCATGCATCATATTTTCTGATAAGCTTGTGACTATTGCTTTGAAATCTAGTAAGTGTCTGAGTATCTAAAAGCGTATCGCCTGCCCTGGGAGTTCACGCCAAACCACCAAAGTGGACTGGGCGTCCCATGTTCTCCTTTCCGCTGGCACTGTGTCTCAGCTCAACCGTCTCTCTCTATCAGCTGTATCTCACGTGCACAACCAATTAAACGCTTCACATGGTCCCCGTTTCCTTCCAGAGTTAGCGTCAGCCTCGCCGTCTCCTCCATCCCGTGTCTGATCTCATCACCCCGCCGCTCACATCGCTCTGCTGCCTCACCTGTCCCCAGAGGTGCACACCTGGAGTCGAGCAGCTGGTTCCCAGCTAGTCCCTCCCCTCCTTTTCCACATCCCAATCCGTGTCACCAGTTTTGGTTTCACTTATTTTGTGTTCCCCTGGTGAGAGGTAAAGGTTAAATATTTCACCTAATGATCGGAGTGAAAAAACCTTCCAGGTACCAGAGAGAGAAAGAGAGAGAGAGAAGAGTAAGGAGGAAACAAAAGCCAGCTGGGATTATCTTAAGGCTTTTTACACCCATTAAGGGGCTTACCCACCAGTCTGAAAACTGCTGGTTTGCATTGCACATTTTATTTATAATGAACATTTTAGGTAAAGGGAATGTTTTTTGAATGAAGTGCCTTGCTTTTTCAAGAGCTTGGCATAAGTTGGCTGTGGGAGTTTGTCAGCCTTGCAGCAAGAGTTTACAAGGTATTTTTTTAAGAGTAAGACATGAGCAGAAAGAAGCAGATGAAGACACATGGCAGTTTTTCTTAAAATCATTTCCAATTTGCCACCAAATTCTCTCCAAGCAGAGGAGAAGTTTGGGGGAGATTAGTTTGATTTAGTAAAGATTTAGGGTAGAGGTAATAGGATTTTATAGATCATGTCCATCCTGCACAGCACGGGAGTTACGGGCGCATAGCATTTACGTGCTTGATAGCTTTACCTCTTAGTAAAGCCACCCATCTGAAGTGAGTACAAATAAAGCACTTTTTGGTGTAGTACAGTTAGCTTACTGGTATTGGATATCACCTCTTGTCATTTTAGATTCAAACCATGTTAAGTGGCTGTGGCTACAGGTGGTGGCAGAGGACTTGCAAAGGCAGCATGGTGAACAGCCCTGCGGGAGGGATTACAGCTGGGTGGGTGTTAGTGGCATTCAGCATCCAACAGGCTGTGGTGAACTCTGTCTCTTGTGTTTCCAGAGGCTGCACAGTGGAGTTCTCAGAGACCTTGAGCGTCAAAATCAGAAAAAGGAGAACATTCGCCTGCTAGAAGAGCAGATTGCTTTGACAAAGCAGCTTATGGAAGAAAGAGACAAGGCGCTAATGGAAGAAGGGTCCCAGCAGTCCTAGGCACAGCCCTGAGGCATTAGAGGTTTGATTAAAGGCATTTGGAGGTCATCGGTATCTAACTACTTGCAAGTGTTTCAGCTAACAGAGGTAATTGTAAAAGACTGTTTCTTTTGTACAGGTTATAATCCAGTCCCAGAAGCTGTAGGGCGGACACAAAATATTTCCTCTGTCATCGGTACTTTGACTGTGAAGACTTGGCCAGCACATCCAGTGTGGATGGACTTGTCAATGTGGGGAGGAGTAGCTCCTTGTTATGCAAACGCCATCTAGGATGGCTAATAACGTTCACATGAGTGGGCTGCTGAGCCGCCACGATGACGAAGCCACGAGGACCTCCACCTCGGAGGGCCTGGAGGAGGGCGAGGTGGAAGGGGAGACCCTCCTGATCGTCGAGTCTGAGGATCAGGCTTCGGTGGATTTATCGCACGACCAGAGCGGGGACTCTCTGAACAGCGACGAAGGTGACGCGTCCTGGATGGAGGAGATGTCCTATTACTGCGAGAAGTGCCAGAAGTGGATTCCAGCAAGTAAGCCTGCCGGTTGTGTTGTGTTGTTTGCGAGGTGGTTACGCTGTGTTGCATACCTGTTTTACGGGGCAGCCCTTGTTTAGCTGTATCCCATCCTATGTTGGAGGAGAAAGGCTGTCTCGGCGCTGCCTGGAGCGCAGCAGCCTGATGCCAGTGGCCTGCGTTAGGCACTTTGATCCATGAACTGTATGGGTGTCCAAAGCTGGCATTCCCCATAAAGAAATGGGATTGTCTTTAATTAGTAAAGAACAAGGGTATGACTTCAGAAACATGCACGCCCTCCCGAGTCTTGCTGCTGGTGTGTTTAGGGGACTTTGGCCACGCAGCTTGGCCTCTCTGCTCACTCAGATAAAGATAACGACCCTTGCTGTAAAGCTCTTCCTGTGCAGGAAAAGGGCTTTGGGATAGCGTTACTTTTTTTAATTTTTTTTTTTTCCCCTGGTCAGTTTGTCACATCTGTGGAGCATATGGCTAAATCTCGACCTTAGTGGTTTCCTGATAATGTGAATTTAATTTAGCTTTCACAGAAGCGTGTCCAGCCTGTAGCAGCTAGCTCTGGGAGGTGTTTGGAGCAAGCTGCAGAACTTGATCCCTCTGCTACTGCTGCTCGACATAAGATATATGCCGTTAGCAACGTAACAGACTAGACTTTACTTTCTAAATTCTGGATTATCGGATCTATTATTAGATCCAAAAGCTAGATATTGCTAAGCACTGGTTGGTTTTTGTTTTTTTTTAATTTGGGTTTTTGGGGTTTTTTGTTTGTTTGTTTTTTGTTTGTTTGTGGCTAGAAATAGTGAACTCTTCAGGTGGCACCTGCCTTGCAGATATGTCAGAGCTGCCCTTTTTGCCATCTTAGAATTTGCCACAAGTTACGGTGTAGAAATCTCCTCTCAAGGCGTGTTAGTGAGTCTTTTGATATTAATGTAATGGAACCAACATCGTACTATTAAGGTAGTATGCAGTTAAAGGGACATATTAACTTGAAATGTATTACTAAAAAAAAAAAGGAGCTGACTTAAAGGTAGCATGAGCTATCTCATCTTAGGGCACTTCATTTAACATTCAGTTTGTTTTATTTTACAAAGATGTTCCTTTCTCTCGTTGCTGTGGAACAAATCCAAAGAGCAGGAAAGGCCAATCATAGAGCAACAGTAACTAGATATCGATGTGCAAAGTAAACGAGCTGGAAAAGGGAAATGCCGCTCTTTTTGCTAACTGTTCAGTTGTACGGGTATCAGTTGTCACTTGTGAAAGTCACCCACATGCTCAGACAAATGATCACTTTTTACGTTTAATTGCCATCTAGAAATTCTGTTCATCTACTAAGTGGGGGGGGTGTTCCCCATCAGACACAGGTGCAACTTTAATAGCTAGATTCTGCAGTTCACTACGGAAGCAGAGCATCCATATACTGCAAATGCTTGATCTAGTGTCGTTATACAGTAAAAGAGATGTCATACTTTTAGAGAAAGACCTTTC